ACTGCTGAATTTTCCAAACTTGCTGCCATGTTGAGTGTAGTACTTTAACAGCATCATCTTTTAAGATTTTAATCAGTTCAACTGGAATGCCATTCTGGGATCCATTCCTACACTTCATGTAGTTCGGATTCTTTCTCTTTTACTTCTCCCTCAAAAATTTCCACCATAATCTTTCTTTCTCTTCCTCTGCTTCTCTTACTATAGCCTTTTTTGTGAGTCTCCTTTCTCCTCTGTCAGTTCTTCCCGCCTCCCGTCTACAGTGCTTTTTTGATCTGAAGCCATTCACCTCCAAAACCTAAACTTTTTGCACTGCACTCGCAAGGCTAACTGTCGGTATCTTGGTGTGGGGTGCGTGCATATCTGTGTATAAAAAGTCCTGTTGCCTCTGAAGTTTTCTTCCCGAATTTCAGTGCAGTGCCGAAAGGTCTGCCTCTAGAGTCTGCTCATCATCCTCAAGTGAGCTTCTCTTGTCTCTTCTCCAAACCGTCGTTTGCAGGAACCCCTTTTCCAGTGTGAGGCAAGCAGTGCCATTTCACGAACTCTTCTATCAGGTCACTGGTACTTTACCTCACAAAGACATTTTTAAAAAGTGGGGCGATGTTCTGACAGAGGAGAGTGGAGAGCCCATGATCCTGCAAGGATTACATTGACTTGACATGTGGTTTGCTCTCTAGCCGAGAAAGTGGTCTGGGATAATCAACAATCCAAGGAAACAACACCAACGATTGAACAGTGATTGGGAATTTCAGATAGACCTGTGACAGCCCACCTCCCTAGTTCCACAAAAATTGAGCCTTTAGTGGTTGGTGACTGCAACCAGGTGACAAAGTGTCTGGACATGTTCAGGCCACGGCATTCAGGAAATGAATCAAGATAGTTAATAGCCTGGCAAGTTCTTAGACACAATTAACCGTAGCAAGTCGCACAAAACTTCCTCGAACCCTGATAGGATTCTAGCAGATGCGTTGTTATTAAATGGCATTTCCAACATTCAGCGTGCCCTCCTCTATGGAAGGAGGTCAGAGTCTGAGAATCACAAAGGCCCTGCTTTTTTCAAAAAAAATCTTTTCTCCAAATAATTCAAAGGAATTTTTTTAATCAACTCAAACCCCTCAAGTTTCCCTGGAATGAATTGGTGATGGTCCAAATCTAACCTCCACTTTCCTCTCACTTTTAACCATGCAAGGAATGGTCCAGATTTTGTGGTGCTTCCAAGCTTGCCTGCAAGTGACCTAATCAGAGGCCAGGATCCCTCATAGAAATACAGATAGGAATGCAAACAAGGCAGGCTGAAGAAAAGGGGGAGAGGAGGGAAGATTGTAACTCCAAATCCTGTGTTGGGTGTGGAGTGGAAGTATTTTAGGAATCTTTTCACCAAAGCTCAGTGTATAAAGCTCTAGCGGTGGAACTCATTGCCACTGTGGAAGAAAAAGCAGTCATGAGAATCAGTTCTTTTCTGTCCTTCCGCATGGAATAAATGCAGTGGATTTAAAATGTTCAACCCAGAAGCTAGGTTACTTTTTCCTGCCCTCCCCCCGTGTAAAAGCAATGAAACAAATGCTTTCAACACAGAAAAAACTCTCCATGAACATGAGGAAATCGCGTCTCTCTCAACATTGGGCCATCATCCATTCCCAGGGTCCTTTCGTGCCACTCCTCTGTTCTGGGGGAGGGAGGGATATATTTCAACCAGCTTCACCCCTAGAAACAGACTGAGCCCAGAACCCCCAGGAATAGAGATGAGCAGATTTCATTCATACATAAAATTTAATAGAAAATACCCCCACATTATTGTTTTTCTTTCTTTTTTGTTTGTTTGTTTTTAGACCAGTGGGTCACCCAGGTGTTCTTGGACTACAACTCCCAGAAACCCCAGCCGGCACAGCTGGTGCTGAAGCCTTGTGGGAACTGTAGTACAAAAACACCTGAGTTACCCAAGATTGGGAACCACTGTTTTTTGACAACAGCACAAGCCATAAATTACTGCATGTAAACATGGTAAACAACCAAGAGCTGATAAATATTTAGAATGTTCTGATTATAGAACTGATATTTCATTCAATGTTTCACTCTGTTTATGTCTGACATAGTGGATGTGTCCACAAAAGCTCACATTAAAGTGTAGTAGTTGGTCTATAATGTACCACCTGTTTTTTTCCCCTTTTTTCTTTAGTATCTGTTGCTTTTGCCCGATATGCTTGGAAATCCTAACCCTGCTTCCTTTCCCAGGATTTCCCCTGGACCACTGTTCCTGAGTCTCCATTTTGTTTCTGAACTACACTTCCCAGAAGACCTTCAAAAATTAAGGGCAAATCCTGGGCAGCTGGCTCAATTTGAAAGAGGAAGCGCAAACCAGGGAGAGATCAAAGGGGAAAGAAAAGAGCAGAGTTGCAATTAGCAATGAGACGCCAGCTGAAAGAAATAGGGATTGAACAGGAAAGAGGCCAAACCTGGCTGCTTTTTTCTGTTCTTTTCCTCATCAGATAAACTGTCCCACTGCCTTATTACTCTTTTTGGGCCCTTTCTCACAAACAGGCTGCTTCTCTGTACCTGGTTTGCAAACTTTCCTGGGCTGTTGAGGTCACCCGGTGAGTAGGAGGGAAAGAACACTGGAGGCTTCTCTGGAAGAAGAGAAGGTGAAATAGAGAATATAAGTTTGCACTGGAGGAATGCAGCCCCAGAGAGAGAGAGAGAGAGAGAGAGGACTTGATGTGGCCATCTGGAGAGGTCCTGCAAGAGTGTCTTCAGAGATGATGTAGATGATTTAGAGATATTCTGGCCAGTAATTTTTTTAAAAAAGAAATGGTACTGTCATTTTAAAGGCTGAACACTTACTTGTGCTTCTACAGTGAGGCCATCTATCTCGTATTTGGTTGTCCTCCCTGTTTTCCACGAAAACTATTCGATTTTTCTCCTATAAATTGAATTGAATCCCAAAACCAACAAAATCAGGGAGCTGGACTGGGGACAGATTGTATCTGTCGCCAGTGTGGAAGGGATGGTCACTCTCGAACTGGCCTTCTAGACGCTGTTCGAAGACCTTTATTCAGAGCTCGTGGCCATAGTCTCTTGAGACTGAAGGTTGCCTGCACAATTTCCTGCCCCTTTTCTTTTCTGGGTATTCTAGTCTCTTGCCCTTTAAGCTCTTCAGTGGGTCCCTCCAAAGAACTGCAACTCCCAGGAAGCATTGCAGCCCCAAATGCAGCTTCAGAAGAATTGGTTCTGGTACAGGTGAGGGAAATGTAGGCGTCCATTAGTGTGAGTTTGTGGACTGGTACTCACAAGGTTTCGAGGGTTTGGGAGGGACTCTTGGAATGTTCTGGGAGATGGAGTCCAAAATATATTGTATTCACATGTCTGGACTGTCTTGTTTCAGTGGGTTTAGATAGTGAGCTTCGTGGTGCAGTGGTTAAACTGCAGTCTTGCAGCCAAACTCTGCTCATGCCTCAAGTTCAATTCCATGAGTCAAGGTTGACTCAGTCTTAAGCCCTTCTGCGGTTTGTAAATTGAGTACTCAGCTCAGTGGGTTATTGGGAATCTGTACCCTGCAATATTGTTATCAGCTCAGAGAGTGATTTGAATGCTCTGGGGTACCATATAAGCATCACACAGGGCGATCAATGACAAAACAAGGAGCTGGATGAGATTGTCCCATGCAAAGCAATGGGACTGCTTACCCAAGACTAATCAAGGGGACAGGATTGTACTCCTAGAAGGATTCTCTGTTGTCCCAGGTGGCCCATGAAGAAAAACGCTTGGCGCATACCTGGAAGACCAGGAACTCTTCTTGAGGGTGAGCAGAAGCAGCTGAAGACCCCAGAGGACCCAGAAGATGATGATGGAGAAGAAGCTCCTGCTCTCCCCTCAGGCGTATCGGAGGCGTCTCAATCTCTACCGGGTATAGAATCTTTTCTACAAAGGAATCGGGGAGCCTTTCATCCTTGGAGTCGGGACAAAGGTATTCTGTTTCCCTCTGCACGTTAATCTTTGTAGACGTTTGTCTTGATTACCACTCATCACTTCTCTGCTTTATAATAAATTTATGTGTAACTTTCAATTCGTTCCAATTGGGTGACTGCATCAGCAATGTATCTTAGACACTTAATGCCTCAGTTAAGCTGATTTTTCATCTTTTTAATGTGTTGTATAGTCTATTCTGACTCACAACGCCCCTTTCCCAGCTGGAGGCTACTCAGAGATGGTTGGCCTATCCCCTTTTTTGGCTGTACATGTACATCAACTCCTTCTTGTTTTCCCAAAGGTCAGTGTTTATTGTTCTCATACCTCTTGTGTACGGATTGGGAAGCAAAACAGAACAGGGGATTGCAAAAAAAAAAATTGTTTCAGTTTAGTGGTCTTGCTAGTACAGTAGCTGATTCATTGTTCTTGGAACACTTGTAGTAAAAAATATCTTCATGCTGTATGTTTAATAGGACTTCAAGAATTACACTCCATTCATACTGATCTCTTCATCCAGCTAGGTTTAGAAAAACATTTTTCTTCATGATAGGAAATTTTGCATTTGCATTCTCTTTTAAATTTCCTTCTCAAGAAAAAATAAATGCTCTTGGACTTTAGTGCTCAACCAATAAACCCTCATTGTTCATTTAGCTCCACCTAAAACTTTTATCACTAAGACTGGAAATATGATTCCTTTAAATCCTTTGACTACTGTTGGTTTGTTGTTGCTGTTGTTTAATCGTTTAGTCGTGTCTGACTCTGTGACCCCATGGACCAGAGCACGCCAGGCCCTCCTGTCTTCCACTGCCTCCCAGAGTTGGGTCAATTTCATGTTGGTAGCTTCGATAACACTGTCCATCCATCTCATCCTCTGTCATCCCCTTCTCCTCTTGCCTCACACTTTCCCAGCATCGGTTTTTTCCAAGGACTCTTTTCTTCTCATGAGATGGCCAAAGTACTGGAGCCTCAGCTTCAGGATCTGTCCTTCCAGTGAGCACTCAGGGTTGATTTCCTTCAGAATGGATAGGTTTGTTCTCCTTGCAGTCCAGGGGACTCTCAAGAGCCTCCTCCAGCACCACAATTCAAAAGCATAAATTCTTCGGCAGTCAGCCTTCTTTATGGTCCAGCTCTCACTTCCATACATAGCTACTGGCAAAATCATAGCTTTGACTAATTGTTCCCAATTTTTTTTAATATTTTATTTTTAACAAAGGGTAACAGAAAGGAAAAGGGGATTGACGTTAAAGGGGAAGAGGAGAAACAATGTCATACTAACATCCATTCATACATATTGCCATATCAAAATTCCAAATTGCTCTTTTTACTATTTTCTGCCTTCCAGATTTAAGTTCTCATTTTAATG